GCCGCCGTTTTTACGCGACGACCCGCGGCCGTCCACCAGGCATCCCTATTTTCCGCGCACCGACAACACCAATCAGTCGGGGAGGCGCCCTTTTTCCTCCTCTACGCTAGACGAGTACCAGATACTCACGTGGTTTCTATGTTCCGGGGTGGAGGGCGGATTCGGTGTGTTTGGCAGAGAACCCCCTGTGGGGGTGCAATGCCGCAGTCGCGCCAGGGCCGTACGAAGCCCCTCCGTCACGAGGCTCTTTTAATCGGTTCTTGCGATGCCACCCTCTCTTCTCGCCTTTCGCTCTCCTTTATCTACCTATACGAACAACCTCCCTCCCCTCCCGCGCCCACACCGCCAGCAGGTAACGTGTTGCGATAACTCCACTCGACACTTCAACCAGAGAGTCGATCAACAATGTTGCGCAATCCTAACGATTCGTCTTCGTTACGCTTCATCTTCTCTCCTCCTCTTCTCTTCTCTTCTCAGAAGGGTCTCGACCTCTTTTCGACCATCCACCTTTTCCGCTCCAATCCTCGGTACGTTATGTCCAACGACCAAGCTGCTTTCGTCTGTAACGCGAAACGGTATATCTCTCCGGTCTATCCCTCCAACCACGATGCAACGTGAAAATTGAAGAGAACGGTAAAGGGCGCGAAAGGTTCGCTTTGTCCTGCGAAACGAAAGCATCTTATTGTTAGCGAAACGGAACGGCACGGTTAGGTGCGTGACGTGCAACGTGCGCGTTCCTTCGATTTGACGACACTCGAGCGAGAAGAATCTTTCATCGGGCCCGCGACGACGCGATGCTAGTCAATTTACCTCCTCTAAAAACAACCATACAAAAATTGCAGTATACCCGATTAATCCGACAAGTTAAACACGAAAACGAGAGAAATCCGGCTGGATGTTAATTAAATACAGACCTCGTCACCACGTCGTCATGCACGCGTACGTGCATGCTCAAGAGAGGAGAGAGAGAGAGTGACCCATTCCAGACGCTAATTAATCCAGCTAAGTAGCTTGACTTCCGCCAGCTACCTGGCCAACGAATTCGAGGGGCCGTTTCACGCCGCCTACTCCAGACGTCGGCGACGAATCTTCCTCCCTTTGTGCTGTGTTAGAGCAAGGGAGGAGGAGGAGGAGGAGGAGGAGCAGGAGCAGGAGGAGGAGGAGGAGGTGGTGGAGGAGGAGGAGGTGGTGGAGGAGGAGGAGCGGCCGAATTAAGAGCATCGTTGAAAAATGCTGGGAGAACGCGCAACGTGTTGTCCGATCGGACTTCCGTCGCACACTCGATGCGTTCCCAAATTTCTTCACCACACTTTTACGCTGATCCACAACACGGATTGGATTGCGAAGGAGAAGCGTCGGGGGTGAGTCTCTTCTCCTCGGTTCGCTACACCAGGTGTGAACGAACGAGCGTGCGAAACTTTCGAGAACATTTGTCGTTTGCCGTTAGGTGTACACGTTGAAAGGTACGGGGGCGGGGACCGAGATCGAAGCCAGTGGAAAGGGTGAACAACGATGCGACACACGCTGCACAAACAAGCACGCGAAAGGAAGACTCGAGGGAAAAGTTACGGGTCGATCGTGCCATAACTGGTAAGAGCCAAGAGCCGCGATATTTCAACTGCCGATCTGCCAATCTGCCGATCTGCCAATACGCTGGAAACGACGAAACGAGACGCGAGAAACAACCTATTCCATCTATTCTCCGCGATTCGCGAGCACGGGTAAAAGAGGATTAGTCGCTAGATACCTGGTGCGTCCGTCCCAAAACAAACGAATAGCACCTTCTACCTTCGCATTCCACCGATTACTGGCGTGGTGCACAAGCTTCGGGAAAGGACACTAGCGCTTGCGCTTTTACTCCAAGGGGTGAAAACTACTAAACTAGCAGCACCGTCGCAACCGATCTGTACCTTCCCTCTACCCTCGCGCCCACTGCTCCTTTCTTCCTCTTCTCTTTTTCTGCCACTCTTCCTTCGTCTACCTACCTACCCCCTTCTTTATTCGATCGCGCAACTCTCCTTCTTCAAGCAATACTCGGCCAACCAATTAAGATCAATCGGGAGGGTATTACCTTCGCTTTAACTCTTGGGAAGGTTCATTCGCCCGTTGCGTTAAACTAACAATGACGATCGCGATGCGACTCGTAGAAGAAAAAAAAACGGTCGATGAAAATCCTCGATCCGAAGGGGAAACGTTCAACTACTATTTCTGACAAATTATCGAACCTCGTAAATCTGTAGAACATCTGCGCAGATGCGCAACTGTTTCCTACGTGTTACGAGCTAGAGCCGTTCACCTCGCTCACCTTTGCCCTACATTTTATCTCCCACCGTTCTACTTTTCAACTTCAACTTACGCACCTTTATGCTGCGGAGTCTCAGTCTCGCGAATCATGCGCTCAACATTTCTCGCGACAACCTCCAACCTACCTTTATTTCCATTTTTCGAAACCGTTTAGAAACTCGATTAAAAAAGAGGTTTTTTTGTTAGCAATGTACGAATCGATGATACTCGCTCGCGCGCTCTCTGTAGCCCAACGGTTTAATGCGATTTAAACACACGCCCACTAAGTTGACCCGAAGCGCACGCGAGTTGATCGACCGCTTTGTCAAAACACCACCTATCGATCCGACCGGTCCACGTGGCTTCGCCTTCGCCTTCGCCTTCGCCTTCCTCTTATTCGCGTGCCCTTCGTTCCACCAAGTACGTATGTACTTAGTTACGAATTCTAGTCGAAAAACAACCGAGACGAGATCGTTCCTTACCAACCCTACCAAATAAACTTCCGTTTACGTTCGATAAAACTATTATCTATCCTCCTTACCAATCTGCCAAACACATTTTCTCCAATGAAACACGTATGGAAAGAACATAAACGTAAAAACTTCCACACCGGTTTTATCCACCTTTCCGTACATTCTCCTACGGCAACGATCTCTTCTCCGCCGCGTTTATCTAATTTCATGCGCTTACGTACACGGTCAAATATCCATGCATCTTTCTCCATATCTTCTGTACATGTACGTGTATTTCCTCATCATATTCAAAATATAATAATAAAAGTTGCACACACGCGCGCGCGCGCACACAAAGAAAGAGAGAGAGAGAGAGAGAGAGAGAGAGAGAGAGAGAGAGAGAGAGAGAGAGAGGAAGGCTGTGTGTGTGTGTGTGTGTTACAGTTTTCTGTCTTTAGTCACAGAGCTTTAATCAGTGCGATTTATGCGTCAATACTCAACCTCGAATGGTTCACTTTCATCCTTGCATATTTCGAAGAAACCTTCTCCAGAAATAATATCGCAATACCGACTTCATATCTCTTTCGTTAACAACCGAAAAAACAGCAGTTTCCAATCGGTACATTATCCGTGAATGGATCCATTCTCGTCCATGTCGATTTTCTCCTTTAGAAAAACAAGAAAAAAAAAGAACAATCAATCGTAGGAACATGTGAAACGGTATCGCTGTAAAACGCTCTTCGCACTTTTCTACAACATTCCCATCCTATACTCGATCGATTCTTCGTACGTAGATAACATAGCTCGGTTGTTAAGGCGAACGATGCACGCCAGTCTTCTTAACTGCTAATATATTACATCTCCAATATTATCTTTCCCTTCGAACTCGCTTTCGCTATTATTATCGTCGTCGTGGTGGTAGTATGATGATGATGATGATGATGATGATGATGATGATGATGATGATGATGATGATGATGATGATGACGACGACGACGACGACGATGATGATGATGATGATGATGATGATGATGATGATGATGATGATAGTGATCGTCGTCCTCGTCGTTGTTGCGATGACGTCGCGTCTCTGAACAAAGTATGTACTTACATATGTATATCCTAACTCGCAAGCATGCACACTTTCCTTTCCTTTCACGTACACGCTAATTTGCAAATACATTCAACCGACATACACGACGTAAAAAATTGCAGCCGCACGCATACGTTAACAGACACATACCGTACACAATAATGAGTTACGATCATTTTTTTCGTTCGCCGCTATCTCTTTCCGTATCTTGGATTCTAATAAACCTGTTGAAATTGTAACGTGAAACGCACAGAGATACTACCATTTAATCACGGTGTGCATAGGAAACTTATACAAGAATTGCAATTCGTGCAAGACATCGGTATCCCAAGACATCCCACAACAACAATAACAACAATTCTCCTTCGTCTATTATTATTATTATTATTATTATTATTATTACTACTATTATTATTATTATCATTATCATCATCATGATCAAGTCGTACATGTAATAAAAGGGGCGCTTGAGCCAATAACGACCGTCGAGACACGTTCTGACGAGATCGTACAAACCTAACCGAGTAAAATACTGTGTTGGACGAGGCGCGTATGTATAAGCGTTTCTTCCTATCGAACCGATTGCGAAAAGTATCAGGAACTTCAGGTCGAGTAGAAACAAAATGCAATGCACGATGATTGTGTTACGAAAAATCAATAAATAGGATAGTTGGAATTTCAAAAGAGGAAAAGTAAGTCGAAGAATGGTGGAGCGAACGAGGGTCGACGAGCTGGGGGAACGATAGTTTTATGCGTATAAAAATAAGAATTTATCTTGATATTAAAAATTTGCCTATCTTACGGATTAGAACCAATATATATATATATATTAATATATGTATATTTCGCGCGCACGCGTCTGCTTATTCTCGAGTTTAGCATCATAATTGCGCTCTGTTTTCATGTACGAGTATAACAAATAGTTATGAATGCAACGAGGCCAATGGACAGCCGTATTTTACTATTTCGTATCGTAAGAAAGTCTCCCACTGTTCGAGTACAAATGATGTTTTGATTAGGCACAATACGTTCGTGCTATCGAGGAAAAACAAATTAAACGAGACAGAGACAGACGGAGGAAAAGAAATAGAGGGAACGTAAAACCGCGAACGCGATTCAATTATCATCGCAACATTTACACCAATGTCCATTAACGGCTCGACACGGGCCAGCACTGTTTCACCTCGTAATAAACCTCACGTATCGTCAAATCGAGCGCCGTCCCTGTCCTTCCATTTCCATTTCCCTTTCCCAAAACACAAACGTACAAATCTTCAACCTGCCACTCGATCTTTCGACACGCGACTGTAAATGGAATATTCTGTATCCTATAAAAACGGTCTTTATACAGTGCTATATATATATACATACATACATACATACATATATACATACATACATACATATATACATACATACATACATATGTATATACTATATATATTACGTTAGAGAATCGTATCTTCGAAAGAGGCGAGACACGGCATAACTTACATATTGTTATCGATACTGTTGCATCACAACTTTGGAACCATCGTATATACGGCCGTGGAAGGTCAGGAGATGCATACGTACATATGTGTATATGCAGGTCGTAAGATTCTTTCGAAAATTCCCCCGCGAAATATCTAGCCAGGACGAACACGTATCCGAGGTTCCAACTGTTAGCGTCCAATATTCAATTGTCTCTTGCTTCACGAGTTCGCGAGAAGAGAATGCTCCAGGCGGAACTTGTTAATTCATCCTCTCCGATTATTCGCGTCTCGTCTATAAATTTCCTCTTTTTCCACATCGTCCTTTTCAAATTTCGTAGCGCGATTCTGACTCGTTCAGTTGAAACAGAATCATATCTTACAATTATATACAAGGTGTAGCTGGTTAAGAGGTAAAAAGTATTCTCTTATCGTAATTGTTACGCGTTAAATTAAACAAATTCGCAATTATAGGATTATTATATCGATTTCACTCGCGATCGATCGAATATGGTCTTGACTCGTTATACCCTGCTTATATTTACAGAAAAGCTGCGGGTGCACAGTAGCCCGTCGATCGATAATATACTGCCTCTTTTACACCAACCACCTTTCTCTCTCCAAAACGATCGGGCCATCGTTGTTCTCGTATTTTTATATCCAAACTAACATCTGCTTGTATAATTCTCCAGATCTGAGCGGACCCTTCGCTCGTTCTTCAACGTATACATACTTCTATAAAAAAATACAAGTGCAAATATTCACAGGATGTAGATAGATATTATCGGACAAATATCTCGACCATTGTATGAAACGGACGGGCGTGTCAGACCTAAACTCTAAAATCTAAGTACATCCCTCTACCTATGTCAGACTGTGGATAGTGTAGTCCCCTATTGTATAAGTAAAAAAGTAGGAAGTAGACAAAATGCAGTGGCAACAAAATACATGCTAGCACGGGACTACAATATCATCGAGTTTCAACATCGCAATAAACAAATATCAGAGTGGGGCAGTGGGTAGAAGTACGTGTGCGTGTGTGTGTGAGGAAGGGGAGGTAGGAACAATAATGAACGAAAAAGCAGAGAGAGAAAGAATAGGACACGCGACCACTCTGTGATGAAACACAGATGAGGAAACATGGCGAAAGATGAGGGAAAGATGGGGGAAAGATGGGGAAAGATGAAAAAAAAAAAAGAAAAAGAAAACGTAATCGCTCGTACATATGTACGTACGATTCGTGTCGATGAACAGAAACCGCTCATTTTTAGTTTCGATCCGTACATAAACATTACGAAATCGAAGGGGTCGGGTCGGGGTGAGAGGGTTTGCCAGCCTTTTTCTCTGCTCGTTTCACATTGATGTTCAGAAACGAAAAAATTAAACGACCCCATCACGAGCATTGATTTCACCATTTCACTTGAAATTGGCATATCATCTTAGCGAAAGTATGTACGCGACACAATTTCCCATCGTTGCGATCAAAACCGCCTTTGTTACTTCTTGGCAAACTCCTGTAATGATAAAAGCACAGTATCGTTATACGATTTGTAAATTATTCGATAAACACTAAACGGTTAAATAACGGGCTAATGGATAACGATACATTTTACTCGCTCTAGTCTTTACCTTGAGTGGCAAGCGTGCACAACCGTTCGTCCTCGGTTTCCTCCCTTCGACAAACACGATCCAATTTCGTTAACCAAAGTTCTTGTTCCGGAACTTTGCTACGACTCGTTTTTCCCGTCACGGATGCTTTTCCCTTATTATCGCTAGGCCGCATAGAAAAGCAATAGGTTTGTCCCAAGTTCGAGGAAACTTGATTGGTTTTCAGCGACACTATCGTGTACCAAGTACCTTTTTCTTCCCAACTGCCATGACAGTAATACGCTATAACGACACATCCGTCCAATTAACATATTTCCCAAAGTTCGTTCTCGCGAGCAACAAAAATAGGTAGGTGCGTAACAACCAAACTGATGCTCCTTACTTGTCTCATCGTTGTCGCACGTTTTTCCAATCACGATTTCACTCTGATCTGTCGAGGCACAGCCTATTTCAACACTGCCACTTTTACAGTCGTCTCCGTGCTGCTGTTCTCCTTCCTGCTGTTCCCCGCCACGTTGATGGTGATGATGATGATGATGATGTTGCTGCTGCTGGTGCTGCCGCTGTTGCTCGTGCGACTCCTTTTGCGGCACATCTTCGTGCCAAGTTCTCCTCTTAGTGATTCTAGAAGAGCGCTTCTCGCTACGACGTTGGCGACGAAACGATGTACCAGGTAAATGGAATCGAGCAAATCCGAAGATCGTGTATCGTCCGGGATTCGGACACTTTCTCTGACGCAACGATGAGCCTGCGCAACAACAAATTGTCTCGCGATCCTAGTATCCTCGTAATCGTTACGTAGCATCGGCATTCAATTGCCGATTTCACCGGTTACTTACTTATTAAGGTGGTATATGCCATTGTAGATGTATCTGCGAGGGAACACGCCTCGTCTGGCATTATAGCTTTCTCACCTGAAAACACACGCGCGCGCGCGCGCGTGCACACACACACACACACACACACGATCGATATTGAAAACGACAACAGGTGTATGTATTTTTTATTTAAAATACTTCTATTCCACAATACTATCTACTGTGGATATACTCTATATAGGTATACTCACTCGATTGCTGTAACTCTATAACATGGTGATCCCTTTTGTGAAATATCATGCAAACGTAGCCAATGTCGCTGCAACAATCGTATCAACAATCACATCGTTCCTACTTCCGTCCGCTACCATCTTACTTACCATCCGCTAGTAACATGAGCGATCAACTTTACTTTGTACCCCTGCGTACTTTCCGTTGGTGGCCATTTTTCTAAATTATGGCAGACGACCTTCTCTTCGTGAAACGTATCCCCATCGGCATTTTGTGCCCTTACTTTCAGCGTTGCATTTTTGTTTGTAAAATGATAAACTTTAGTACCATCTAAGGAATGCCAGTCGTGATGTTCGGTGATCCACGAAGGATACTTGCATCTATTGTGTTCTTTGTCGACTGCGGAGAAGGAACGGAAAAAAATAGAGAGGTCGTCGGCATGTTCGAAGAAGGGAGGGAGGGAGGAGAAATGTATACCTTTCGTAAGCTTGATCATCGGGGATCCCTCGGAGACTGTAGTTAGGCCGTTACAGTTTGGTTCGCCAGATTGAGCAAGTAAATAAACCATTTTTCCCTGATGATGCGTCTTTTCTTCGTACAAAAAACATCTGTTCCAACAGAACGCGATTAGGTATATACTAAGTAGAGAAATCGTTCATCGATGAAACCTATACACACCTATACATTTTCTCCGCACCCGAAACGCTTCTTCCCTTTAACGTTCCAATCAGATACTTGTTACGACCATCGTTCCATACAGCCAGGCATTCCAACTCTTCCGCTGAAACGCAACAAACGATAATGATTCGCGTTGGAAATAATGGAAACTGATCAATTTCGTTACTCACTGTTACTCTCGCTTCGTTTCACATCCGGACAAGCTTGATACTTGAGAAGTAATTTACTCTCGTCGGTACATTTCTCCGCGAGGCTAATAGGCATAGAGCATTCACCGTAACCCTTGTCGTAGGTAAACGTAAATGACGGTCCACTGAAAGGGCACGGTATTGCCTTGGAGTTTACACGAAACATGGAAAACAATGTGTCGTCGGACTTGATGTTCGAGCACATGTCATCCAAAGTAGTTCGTTTCGTGTAGCACCATCCTTGAGAAAACATGGAGAAGAAAAAACACGTACAACGCACGAACCAACGATAAAACCAACGATAAAACCAACGAAAAAAAAGAAGAGAACATTCGACTAACCTTCGCGGAATTGAATCACATTCTCGTGTCGATCGTTAACTATTATACAGTGATAGCAATTGTCACCGCTAAAACGTTACAGCAACGATTAATGCAATTTACCGCATGCTTACCATATACAACCTTTCTTTTCAAATACTTACTAAATGATGTATGACTGCTCGGATCGTTCTACACACGTCCTTTCACCCAGAACAGTCGCATTTACGCTAATCGACACTAGTTTTTCATACTGGTACCATTCTCCAGTCCAACCGGCTGGGAACTCGCAGGAACCTAAGACGATCATTTTATCAATGCTTTATACTATACCGTATTGCATTCTCCGTTTGTCATGCATCTATCCTCGAATTAACTTAACCAAAAGAGATCACTTTGGTCTACTTACAGTTTACGAAGGGTGCGTCACCCAGAGATAAAAGTAACAGTATCAACATTGTCGCCGAGCGACAAACGCGTCTTCTTCGGCATGGAAAGTACGATCCCAGCATCCTGAAATGCAGAAAATAATTAGAAACCGTGATTCATTTTCCATAGAATACATATTTTCAATTACGTGCTCCTCAGAATTGTCGCTCGGGCTACAATCAAATCGAGAACGTGCAAATCTTTACAAAGTAGTTTAATCATGCTGGTCGTTTACTGATGCTCGTGAGAAAAGGGATTCTCCGAAACACCTGAGGCGACACACGAATTCCGATTGAGGAAGATGGAGAAAAACGATTCCGTGGTGTCATGTTCTCGATATGATTTCATCGTTTTCACGCACCAGTTTGACTGTATCGCACATTTCTCCAAATACATCCAACCACACAGACTAAATAAACGGAAGGAAAGGTTCATCGCGACACACGTCTGCGACGGCAAAACAACGCGGGCAACTGCGAAAGACGCCTACGCGAAGGAAACCTCCGAGAAAGATGCATTATTTAGCAAAGTACACGTGTCCCGATTCGTTTCGTTCAACGTGTTCTTCATTTACCGCGAACCTCGTGTACACACATACACACACATTCTGTTCGTGTTCTTTCGTTCGAACGATGCGCGAATAGGCGCGGATCTGCGCATCCGAGCAACCCTAAACGTCAAATTCATGTCCGCTTTTTATTTTTCACTTGCCCATTGAAATAAAGAAAAAAAAAAAAAAAAAAAAAATAATAAAAAACCCCGAAACTGTCTAACTTTCGTCTACGAAATCTTCATGTTCAATGTTAGTTTAATCGTATCCGAGCATGACGACGAGTCATGACAATCGTCAGCATGCGTCTAATCGACACTCGCGTCGATGTTCATCAGCAGGCATACCCGCGCGCGCGCGCACATACACATACACAACAGTTGCACGCAAATACGAGAATCACAGTCGAATATCGAGCACGCGGAACACGATAATTGGAGTTTTCATTTCGACCGATTCAACGCGTCTTTTGCTCGTTGCCATTCTTTTCATCGTTGTGAATGGGAACACCAACCTTTGTACGTCCAGCATCGCAAACGCGAAGGTGACGAAGGAAGTGCAAACCAAGTTCCAGACCAAGTATCACATAATGCTCCGCGAATGAAATTCAAGGTTCAAATTTTAAGAGAAAATTTCTACGCACAGCGATACGTTCAAAATTTTTGCCCGATTCGGCTGAACGCTCGTATAAATGTACCAAACGATTACCAATTACGAAGCTTTCAATCGCCGTGTAAACAATAATTTTTAGCAGACAAGGAAGTAAATAATACGAAATAAATATGTGTCGAGAGATTTAACTTTCCCCGTTTAAAGCTCAACTTGGTTCGACGATCAGAGGAACGCGTTAAGCGCGACAGATCTATCTAACAACGGAACATTGGTCGTTGAGTCGAACACGAACGAACAACACGCCACTGTTGTTACTACTACCATCACTACCACCACCATTATTACCGTGGATACAAAAGCATCACCGATTTTCAAAAGAACACTCGACGCTCCGTTTTCCTTTCCGACAATATATCGGTCCTAGCACGATTCTCGACAAATGTTTCACCGATTTTTCGCCTGCGTAATCGAGCAAGCAAGAGATTAGATCAAAGTCTAGAAAACATTGAACACGCCTTTTATTATTCGCAATTTTCCAACAATTTGCACTAACAACGATATTCGGCGTCCACTACTGTGCGCGTCCGTCGTTTTTAGCCATCGAATCTACTTGTTCGTTTATTCATTTGTTTCACTCATGGGAACAATGGCGGCGACCCGATGGACAGCGAGCGGAACGCCGCACCAACTATTCCTACGGTACGTACGACAGCACACTGCAGAACTTCAGCAGGCGCCACTACATGCATCCACTACTTGTCTGTGTATCGCTGATCGGTGTGCACGGTACTAAAATTTTAGTGCCTTTCTCAATTGTACTCCTCGTCCAGTCCCTTTCCGTCCCTCTGCTCACCGCTCCATACTACTCTTCTCCTCCTTCTCTCTCTCTCTCTCTCTCTCTCTCTCTTTCTCTCTCTCTCTCTCTCTCTCTCTCTTTCTCTCTCACCCCTCCCATCTTGTACTTTCCTTTCCCTTTCCATTTTCTTTTCCCTTTCCTATCCATACCCTCATCCCCTTCCCTTTCCCTTTCCCATCATATTCGACAACACCTTAACGAGGTGGCATCGTCTCATGGTTCAATTCTTTTTTCATGTATATTTACGTTCGGCTAAATTGATAAAATACCTGTATAGAGAAACGCAACAATCGTCAAATCGTCAACTTTATGTAATGGCGATTATTATTAGTTAGATGAAAGAACGAATGAAGTTAGTGGGGTAGTAGACGTGGGGAGAAGAGAAAATAGTGCCAAGTTTTGTCGTGTTAGGCATAAACGTAAAGATACCTAAAGTTCTGCACTCTGTGTAACTAGCACGCACCAGTGGCGTAGGGATTTTTTTAACATATGCTCGAGTGCGTTGATCTTCGCCAAGTCCTTACAACTAACACAAACGCACAACGACGGTGGTCCTATGTGAAATGGCGTACGATGTGCGAAAATAATTCCAACACCAGCCGTCCAACAGTTAGCGTGAAAGCAGCTATCGATAAATAAACCTGTGTTATGCAAAAGAAACATTACTTTGTTTGAAATCCAGCTATAATTTGTTTCTAAGTCTGTCGACGTGTGCGTTCTGATTAGCAAACACTTTGTCCAGTTAATTCCATCAAACATTGAAAAAGAAATCTGTATTGTGATAATAAACAATTTCAATCTTCGTGTCAATGTCTTTTCTTTTAACAGATGTACGCATTCTACGTTACATTATTTGTCGTTGTATTTCTTCATTTCTACGATTTGTATGTCGTGATGCAAACATTGCACGCAGCACTACATTCGTTTAAACAATACATATAACTATTGGCTATAAACATACGATTAAAAAGCCATTCTTCGTGAAGAATAAAGGGCATAGTGTGAATTAGAATGTTGGTACGTCAGTTACCAATTCATCGACATCACGTAAACGCCGCAGACGTTACGACGCGACTGTTGGATGGCTGGTGTTAGAATGATTATCGCGCATCTCACTTGCGCATCGTACGTCATTTCACATATGACCACTGCAATTCTGAGGATTCGGTAAAGATCGATGCTCCTCAGTGTATATAGGACTTTTAATATAGGGAAAACGTTCGTTTGGTTTATTTCGACTGTAGTTGGTCTATGTGAATTTCGTTCGACTTCGCAATCTGTACTGGGTTGAATGTGTTCCAAATAAGACTGTTAGAGGGCTACGAACTGTGAAAAACGTTTGGTCGATCAGTCGACGAAGAGAGAAACTCGTGTATCGGTATATGGCTTTGTTGCGAGTTACGAAGAGAAAACAGAAATTGGTGATTTCGTGTTTTTATAAAAAAAAAGAATAAGAAAATAGCATGTTAATGTTAACGTATAAATTCAGTTCGCACTTTCTCCGCTATCGCAATCTTTTAGAACGCGATCCACTAGCGGGTTGTGATCGATAAGTGCAATAACACAGAAAGTTATCATGTTACACTTATAGCTGCGCGTAGTTATATACGCGCGAATTGCGAATACACACGTATATATTATACAGGTGGTTATCGCGCGTTTTGTTTCAACGCGAGGAAAAGTAGTTATCTCGGTTGGGGTGCGCTTTCTTTAAATAAAACCCCAATTGTTTTCGTACCAACCTTGATTGCAAACTGAACGGTTTGTACTCGTTCGCTTCATTCGTGTATATACATACACATATATACGTGACGCGTGTGCACGGTTGTGTATAGTGTGTATATGTACATAATCGATCGTAAAATTTACGAAAATTTATCGAACTTCATTCATTATGTCGTAACCATTCGTAATCAAGTTGTAGTTGGCAATTTAATTCTAAAATCAAGCTACACAAATCCACGATCGAGGATCGTTTGAATTCTGTATAGTATTCATATACCA